CACCTTTTCATCGGAATCGAAGGAGATTGCCTCGGAAACAGCGTCAGCATGAAACTTCCAGTAAAGCCAACCGACGGCTGGTCAAGAGGAATCCGCCGTCGTCTTTTGGTGGAACCGATCTTCGAATATCTTCACCCAACACTTTCACTCGAAACGGAAGTAAGCTCAACAATTAAGCAGGGATTGCCATTGCAAACATTGAAGTTACTTATTTCCGATATAAGTAGGTCAATCATGCAAGAACTACTAATCATCTCGAGACCTAACTGAAGGCCTTTTAGAGTGGTCTCACTTTGTATTCGCACTCTGGTCGTGTTGTCGGGGCGACCTAACCGGACGCACTTTGTCAGCAGTTATCTGCTGTTGTTGTGCCAATTTTCCGCGTTGGACTGTGGACATTACGCCGGCGTCGTCGGCAGAGGGACTCGTTTGTCTCTTCAGCAAGAGGTAACTCGGTGCTGAGAATGGAATGTATGGGAATGTACCAAGTGCACGGTCCAACGCCGGAAATTGTGATAGCCAGAATGGCAGAGGACTTAGGATAATGTGTCGCCCTGACAACACGACCAAATTGCGAACACGAGGTCAGACCACTTCCGTACGTCGAGAGAGGACTGCTACCAAAGTAGAAGCTACAACATTTTGGTCTTCATATCCACGTCGACAGGTTTTCAATTCATTTCAGTCCCGACAACTCAGTTGTGTGGAGCCACCCCCCATCGGAAGGTGGGGCATTTTCGGGCAGCTTTTTGCGAATGCGTCGCAAGAACCCAATAGACGTGTGCTGTACCTTCTTATGTCATGCCACAGCCTTACAATATGGCTCCACATGACCAACTCAGTCTGGGCATCAGCCACAAACCGAACGTTGCTATGACAGACTTTGCGATCAAGTCGACCTCTGAGTGTCTGAGGTGGAGGCATTGAATACCCAATTTCCCTGGGTCACGACGTAACTAACGCCTTTCTCAAGTGCCAACGCAATACTCGATCTGAGACCGGCGCACTTTCAGCATCCTCCTCCCCACAACCACTGAAATGGTAGAGCAGACGGACTCTCACCACCACCACAGACCGTTGATGCTGCCGGTGCGAGTCATCCCATTGAATCTAGCCGGGCCGCAAGAGTGACAAATCTCGAAAATTCACACCTTCCTCTCGGCCTCGCCCTGTCTCCAACCCGCAACACATCCTCACCGCGTTTTTTGATCGTCAAGTCAGATGACCATTTACTTGGAATTCATCTATCCACCTCGCTTCGTGGAACACCGGTTCACGTCAGTCGAGAGCACGAA